CTGAAGGGAGGAGAGAACCTCCACTTTGACTATGACCGTGTCTAAACAATATAAGCGTCGGAGAACTCAAGGGGCTTCCATAGCCTTGGAAACTCATAACTGGTGCATAGGGAGATTACTGATGCCATAAACAGGAGTGTCAATTGGTAAAGTCAACAACAGGAGTCACTGTGCACTTACTCCTCATGTAGGATCTCTGTCCTTAACGTGCTGTACACTGAGGCTTAATGCTATAACGAGTACTCAAACAGTATATTTCACTTTGTGTTTCTATGGGGGTGCAAACGATTGAAATCTTTACTTAATGTACACTAAACTGATCTTCTGTAAAAAAAAAAAAAAAAAAAAAAAAGAAATTATCAATTCCCAACTTGACTCTCACTGGGATTAAACATGACAATAGGTCTGATCTGATTTCATCATCATTTAAAAAAAATCATCGATTATTTTTCACTTTATGTTTCTGTGTGGGAGCAAACTGTTGAAATACTTACTTAAGGTATACTAAGCTGATCTTCTGTATATTAAGATAATCGAAAATGAATCTTGATGTGAATGGAAGGGGAGAGGGAGTGGGAAAGGGGAGGGTTGTGGGTGGGAGGGACGGTATGGGGGGGGAAGCCATTGTAACACATGAGTCGTACTTTGGAAATTTATATTCATTAAATAAAAGATAAAAAAAAAGAAAAAAAACCCTATTAACTGTACCTTAAATTTGTGTATTTTATTAATATGTAACATTGTTATGATTTGGGTGTGTCCCCTGGGATCCATGTATTGGAAATTCAATCCCCAAAATCCTATGTTATTGATATTCACAGTTAGGGTTATTGGCAGGTCATTAGGATTAGAACATATAAGGCCTCAGCCTGACTTTACTGTAGCCATCGTGGTTATAATCATCATTTTACCCTTTTGGTAACTGATTATCAACCCAAAGTCATTAAGATAACCTGCTAGGTTTGTCTTGTGAGGTCAGATCCTGGAATGTATCTTATCTAATAACGCCTGGAAGCTTAATGTTTCACAAGTAAATCCAAGCATACTTAGGTTAGTGGTCAGCTACATGTAACTAAATTAACACAAACCCCTTACTTCTGACCAGTTGTGTGGGGTTCCACTGTCTTGTGGCCACCTGAAAATTTACACTTGGTAATTGGATTTCTCTTTTCTTTGGTCTCTCAGCCCCTTTTGCCTTTGGCAGCCCGTTCATACATACGAGGTTCTTCTGAAACAGAAGAGGTCATGAGGGTGGGCCCCACGATGGCTTAGTGAATTTTTAAGAAGAGAAGGAGAGACCTGAGCTGCCATTCTTGCTCTGTTTCACCATGTGATACTCTTACCAGAAGCTAAGCAGATGCCAACACCATGCTTTTGGACTTCCCAGCCTTAGACCTGTGAGCAAAATAAACCCTTAGTCATTATAAATCAACTTTTAGGGGCTGGCACTGTGGCATAGTGGGTAAAGCCACCACCTGCAGTGTCAGCATCACATATGGGCGCCGGTTCAAGTTCGCACTGCTTCACTTCTGATCCAGCTCTCTGCTATGGCCTGGAAAAGCATTAGAAGATGGCCCAGGTCCTTGGGCCCCTGCACCCACATGGGAGACCTGGAAGAAGCTCCTGGCTCCTGGCTTTGTATTGGCCCAGCTCCAGCCGTTGCAGCCATTTGGGGAGTGAACCAGTGGATGGAAGACCTCTCTCTCTCTGTCTCTGCCTCTCTGTAGCTCTGCCTTTCAAATAAATTTTTTTAAAAAAACCCTTAAAATAAATAAATAAACAAACTTTTAGTTGTAAATTTCCTAGGCTGTGGTATAGCAACAGAAAATGGGCTAAATCAAGTGTGTTGAAGAGTTCTGTTAGTTCCAGCTGTACAGGGTAAATTGTTTCCTCAGGTCAATCTTGCTTCTTTTCCAGCATTCTGTAGAGCATGGGTTAGTAATCAAAGATCTCATTAAATTTTCAACTGCATTTGTGTAATATTCCACTGGACTTCCTGTCCTAATGCTGCACATCCATCTTCACCTGCAATAATGGCTCCAGCTGCAAGAGCACTATAAGAACTTGGAAGCTTAAACTCATGGGATTTGCGATGCCAACATTACAGAACCATCTCATATGTGTGTGTGTGTGTGTATATATATATATATATATATATATCCTTTCCCTGATCCTCAACCTCCTATCATTGCTCCAAATTTATAACATAAACAGCAGAGGAAAGACTTGAACAGCATTCTCACTCTATCCAAACTGTGGGCCTCTTCCACTGGTTTGAGAAATACCCATGCCTCCATGACAGGTACCCGAATGTCTTTAGGCAGCAGGTGATGATGGAGAAGAAAAACTGCTATTGGGTGAGTTCTGATGACATGATAAATGACCTTAGTGAAAGAGAAGAATACTTGGAACAAGATAATCTAGATTCCCTCTACAGTATCATCCCCTGAATGCCGCAGTCTCCTTAGAGACCTGTACTTTCAAGGCGTGACTGATCTAACACCAGTTCTATATGCAAAAGTAAGGAGAAGTGGATGTAATGCAACAGCAGAGAGTACATAGAACATCAAAGCCATTAAACCCATACTTTTGGGATATGCATATGTACACACTCAGACACACACACACACAATCATACATATGCAGGGTCCCACAGAAAAGTAATGTAAAGATCATCTCTAAAATACTATTTTCATTACATGATGCCCTGATTATCTGAAAGACTATCTTCCAAAAGTGTCTATGCAATATCCAGAAAGCCTTCTGAGTGGTCACAAGTATTTACCTATGAACCTAACTTCATGGGGAAATACGCTTTACAGGAACTCATCTGGAACCTGCTGAGATTTAAACACATCCCAAATCTCTGACAGCAAGCCAAAAAATAACTTCCAAATGCAAGATTGATCTCCTAAGACAAAGGTTCATTTGCAGTCCTTCAAAGCCTGTGCCTGCATAAGAAGTCAGCTTGGAAAAAGTCAGCTGTAGGAAACAGCAGTGGGAGGAGAGTGAAGCACAGCGTCCTTCTCTGAAGCTGAGGGAAGTGAGTAAGACAGAGCGGATATCCTTGCTCTTCTGAACAGGAAGGAGAGATACTCTAGGAAATGTGTTTAGTTCTCTCAGGATTGTATATCTAGAATTCTACACTTCAAATAAGCGACCCCAACTCTTCCACCAGATTCAACTATTAACACGAAGCACAATAGGAATTTAAAAAATCAAAGATGCCTCACGTAAAAAGAAATTTCACAACTGCTGTTAAAAAGTTGTAAAATAGGAGCCAGTGCTGTGATGTAGCAGGTAAAGACATCACCTGTTTTCTGGCTGTGGTGCCAGCATCCCATATGAGCACTGTTTTAAGTCCCGGCTGCTCCACTTCCAATTGATCTCCCAGCTAATGTGCCTGGGAAAGCAGCGGAGGATGGCCCAAGTGCTTGGGCCCCTGCACCCATATGAGAGACCTGGAAGAAGCTCCTGGCTCTTAGCTTTGGACTGGTCCAGCTCTGACTCTTGCAGCTATTTTGGGAGTGAACCAGTGTATGGAAGATCTGTCTCTCTCTCTAACTCTGCCTTTCGAATAAATAAATAAATCTTTTAAAAAATTGTAAAAACAAATTGCTAATGAGTCCTTCTAAAGGCTGCACTGGATCTGTCATGTTAGGACACAGACCTGGCCACACCTTTCTTCTGCATGCCAGTTTGGTTCTGCTGAATGAAAAAGAAACCAGAGATCGGCTATGCAGAAGCAAAAAACAAGTATTTATGAAGCTGCTTTCTAAAACTCTGACAAAGGTCACAGGCTGCTCAGCGGAGCAATATACATCATTTAAGTTTAAGACACCTCCTATGTCAATGACACCATACAATTCTTGGACAAAGGTTTTAATAAACACATTTAAGGCCAACTGATCCCACCATCCTTCTCATCTCTGTCAGGCTATGCCAAGCCCAGTGTCCTGCACTGAGGGCTCAGACCTCTCTGGGTGTAGCTTCAGATGTGCTTCCTCTTCTATGCCTCACCCCAAGGCTGACCTGCCTCACGATCCACAGACTCCATGGCATCTCCTTGGGCTGTAAGCTGCACACCTGAACCTCTGCCCTGAATGTTCTCTGACATCTTCTTATGAGCTGGGGTTCTTTGCTAGGGTAACCACACACATTCTCTCACTCTCTGGAGAGCTGGCAAAGAGGGAGGGCCTCAATTTATTCCCAAACTGTTTACTACCACTAAGCCACTGCAGTTCTGGTCTTTATTAAAAAGCTAATCACAAGCATGACACCATGATTTCTAACGGCCAGCACCCCTCATGCTTAGTGAATAACCAATCTGTCATGGAGTAGGGAAAGCAGTGGAGGAGGGTCACTGGACAAGAATCTCCTTGGATTCCTGCTCCCAAGCTCCAAAACTACCTTCCTGGACCTGTCTCTATGGACCTGGACATTAATCCCAGACTCATGTATCTAATTGATTCCAGGTCACTCTGTGGTGCTATGGATACTTCAACCTTCAACATGTCCCAAACTGAACTCATCATGCTTCCTTGCAATCTATCCATGTTCCTAAAATCTTATATTTTAGGATTAATGCTCCACTATCCATCCAGTTTCCAAGTCTGGAAACATGAGTCCTCCTCCAATATCCCCTTTACTATTAGCATGTTATCAGGTACAAATTCCTACAGATTCTCTTAATGGTTAAACTCAACTACTCCTTAATATCTCAAGTGCTTTTGCTTGAGTTGTTAAACACTGAGTTAATCTCCCATCTTCTAAGCAAATACTCTGTGTAATCCATTTTGCATAAAACTGCCAAGAATATCAAATTATACATATGACACAATTTTAAGTATGTGAAAACTCCTAGTAATTATCTAACATAGAATTTATTCATAATATTTTTACATATTTTCCAAATGTTCCACCAAAACCATGCATTTTCTTTGAACAGTAATGAATGAAATCATTTCATAATATAAAAATGAAGAGAAATGATACCATACCATGCATCAGTGATGTATCTAGATGATAACATTCCTGTGTGTGCTGAGGCCTTTGAAATGATTTGGGTCCTGGGGAGTTGGTATAAAGGCAAATCTTCTTCCTCCCTGCTCTGAGCCACAGAAGGAACATCCACCAGCATGCCAGGACCTTGGACCTCATTTGGAAGCACCATTCCTGAAGAACAAATGCAGACAGCCATATCACAAGACACATTCATTCATCCCTCAGCCATTCCACAGAAAGTTATAGCACCCACTATGGGTAGGCACCCTTTCAGGTAGAAGATTTTTTTAAAAAATTAAAATTTAAATAATTAAAAAAATTTTAAACAAGACTATTTATTTGAAAGTGGGAGTGGGAGTGGGAGTGGGAGTGGGAGTGGGAGTGGGAGAGGGAGAGGGAGAGGGAGAGGGAGAGGGAGAGGGAGAGGGAGAGGGAGAGGGAGAGGGAGAGGTGTGGGGAGCAACTCGGATTAGACTGTTACTCTAATTAAGACTTATTTTATGCATCTGCTCTCCCACAATATGGCGCTGGGAGAGGAGGAAACAGCTTCTACACAGTTGCCTCCAGTTCAACCAATAAACTGTAGGACCTGCTCCTGATTGGAGGAGAGCAGCGTACTCGGCGTGTGGGTAGCAGAGTTGGGATTGGCGGAAGAGGACTATAAAGGAGGAGAGAGACAACATGCACCAGGAACATCTATCTGAAGGAACACCTGTGCAGCCCCCAAGAGAGCCGGCTGGCGGTGTGCCGTTCCCCCACAGAAGTGGGGAAAGTGGCAGGGGGAACCGCCCTTCCACGGAGGTGGAAGGGACGGTAGCCAACCCGGGAAGAACCAGCAGCAAACCCGGGGAGGGCCGAGCAGACAAAAGAATAGCGCAGGGTCCTGTGTTGTTCCTCCACGAAGACGGGGAGCGACAGAGAGGGAGAGGGAGAGGGAAGGGAGAGGGAGACGGAGGAGGTCTTCCATTTGTTGGTTCATTCCCCAAGTGGCTACAATGGCCAGAGCTGGTTCAGTCCACAGCCAGGAGCCATGAACTTCATCCAGGTCTCCTACGAGGGTGATACAGACTTAAGCACTTGGACCTTGTCCTCTGCTTTCCCCAAGCCATTAGCAAGGAGCTGGATAGTAAGTAGAGCACCTGGGACACAAACTGGTGCTCATATGGGATGCTAGCATCTCAGGTGGCAGATTTACCCACTATACCATAATGTTGGCCCCTAAATATACACAGTTTTAAAAGGGCTTTTCTAAAAATTCCAAGATTCTTTTATATTTATTACTTCATTCAGTTCTCACATCAAACTCTGAGTTAGAAAGAAGATACTTTCAACTTTATTTGACAAAGAGGGAAACTAAGGTGAGAAAATTTGTCTGTTTTTAACCCAACAACGAAGGGATACAGGGAACCAGAATTTACTTAAATATTGACAATACAGTTTCTATCAAATTCTTATTAATTTTTATTTCTACTCAAGAGGAGCCACATAATAAATTTGATATGCATGAGGTTGGCGGTGTGACATCTTGAGACTTCTTACAGTTGTCCCTAGTTTCAGGCACTATATTTTAGAATGATTGTATTAACAAAAATATTGGAGAAGCTATTCTGCTCTCCTTACATTTGCCCCCCAAACTAGTGATAGCTCCTCTCTTCTCATCACAATAGATCAAGTGCTAATATATGAGTGGAGTTTAAAAAGTTCATGGAAAAATGGAATTAAAATTAGAGATAAACTTTATTTCTCAATATAAGTTTCATCAAGTTCAAGACATTTTTGTAAGCCATGATATTAGCCTTTTAGTTCATTACTAGAGAATTTAGAGTCTTGGGAATTTGACCATGTCAACGCATGGAGAAAAACGGGTACCCTTTAATGACCTTTTAAAATTTGGAAACAAAAAGAAGCCAGAAGAAGCCAAATCAGGATTGTGCTGGATCCCTAATGACTTCCTACTGCAACTGTTATAAAAGTTCCTTTTCATTTGCTGAGTAGAAAGGTCAGAAGCATTGTCACGATACAGAAGCACTCTTTGATAAAGCTTTTGCTGTACATTCTTCCTGCAAAAGTTTTGGTAACCTTTATTCAAACATTCTCATAACAAAGTGGATGTTATCATCTTTGGCCCTTCATAAAATCAATAAGCACTGAGCATCCCAAAAAACTGTTGTTATGTCCTTTGCTCCTGAGGGGTCTACTTTTGCTTGGACCACCTCCTGATAGCCATTGCTCTCAGGATCATACTAGTAAAGTCATGTTTCATCTCCTGTTACAATTCTGCAAAGAAATGCTTCAGGATCTTGATCCCACCTGCTGAAAATTCCTATTGAAAGCTTTGCTCTTGGCCGGTGCCACGGCTCAATAGGCTAATCCTCTGCCTGCGGCGCTGGCACCCCAGGTTCTAGTTCCGGTTGGGGTGCTGGATTCTGTCCTGGTTGCTCCTCTTCCAGTCCAGCTCTCTGCTGCCTGGGAAGACAGTGGAGGATGGCCCAAGTGCTTGGGCCCTGCACCCACTTGAGAGACCAGGAGGAAGCTCCTGGCTCCTGGCTTTGGATTGGCGCAGTACGCCGGCCGTAGCGGCCATTTGGGGGGTTAACCAACGGAAGGAAGACCTTTCTCTCTCTCTCTCTAACTCTGCCTGTCAAAAAAAAAAGGCTGCTCTTGTCTGCAGCTTATCTGGAGCTTATCTGGGGGCAACAGTTTTGGCATCCATCAAGCAGAAAGTTCACTCCACTTAAATTTTTCAGAGTTGTATAAGCTGAACCAATGGAAGTACCATAGTACTGGCTGTTGTTTCTGCTGTTAATCGTTGGTCTTCTTCATTTAGATTATTTTCCTCACAAATTGATGTGGATGGTCTACTACTAAGGGCTTCATCCACAACATCCTCTCATCTCTTTAAAATGAGTTATCTATTTGTAAACTGATGGTTTCTTTGGGGCATTATCTCCTAAAACTCAATAAACCATCAATGATTTCACCATTCTTCCACCTGAGTTTCACCGTACATTTAACAATTGCTCTTACTTTAATGTTTAGCAGAACTCATGTTGCTACAATTGATATCTTATCCTTCTTAGTGCCTGAAACTATACCCTGTTCAGATATAACTAGTTACTGCAAATTTATTCTGGTGGCCAAAAAGTTTTGAAATCTGTGCATTTTTCATAAATATATTTTCCATGAACTTTTTGAAGACCCCTTCTAAGCCATGTACACTATCATATTATATGTGTATATACAAATATGTCTAGGTGTATTGTCTATATACACCTCCACACACACAGCGAAATAATGATAATTAATAAGATACAAAATATGCATTGGACTTCATATAACTCTTATCTTTGAAAAGGAAATTAGGCTTATTTAATAGTTTTATTGTTTAAAAAAAATCTGAGTATGAGGGAGCAAGGTCAGAAGAGCCAGTTATGAGGGTAGTCAGATAATTTTTTTATATGAACTAGAAAAAACTGGAAGAAAATCAAGCAAATAATGATTATCTCTACAGATCCTTTTTTTTAAGGATTTTTATTTTATTTTATTATTTATTTGGAAGGCAGAATTACAGAGGGAGAAAGAGACACAGACAGAGAGAGGTCTTCCATCCACTGGTTCACTCTCCAAACAGTCACAACATCCAGGGCTTGGCCAGACTTAATCAGAAGCCAGGAGCTTCTTATGGGTCTCCCACATGGGTGTATACTTGGGCCATCCCCCGCTGCCTTCGCAGGTGTATTAGCAGGGAGCTGGATCAAAAGCACTTATATGGGATAACAGTATGGCGTAGCAGGTGGCTAGCCCCTGACCACCTTTATCTCTACTTTTTATCTGTATTATCTTAGTTTTCATCTTCCACAAACACAGTTCATTGTTTTGCCTCATACTGTCATGCATTTTCCCCCACTGTTCCCTCAGCCATATCCAAAAATGACTTCATCGTGGACCTGCTTACTTTATTTAACACCCTATCAAATATCTTCTACTAAAATAGCCGGGCTGATCACCCCCCTGTAAAACAGCACTGCTCCCTGAACATTCTGTCCCTTTGCACTGCTTTGTCTTTACTCATGACCCCTACCATACTGCACACTAATTTGTTAGTGTCTGTCTAACTCTGTTATATTGTGGGCTCCATGAGAGCAGACTTTATTTTGCTCACTGCTCCCATGACCCACAGTAAATCTCTTATATAGAAAACACTTAGTCGGCAGGTGTTGGGGTGCAGATGGTTTTAAGATGCCACTTAGACACACTCAACTTCCCATATCAGATTGCCTGGGTTTGTGTCCTGCCTCTGCTTCCAGTCCAATTTCCTGCTAATATGCATCTTGACCTGGTAGGTGATGATAGCTTAAGTACCTGGGTTCCTGCCACCCACATGAGAGACCCTCAAGGAGTTCCTGGCTCCTGGCTTCAGCCTGGCCTAGTCCTGACTGTTGTGAGTATGGGAGGAGTGAACCAGTAGATGGAAGATTTATCTCTCTACCTTTCAAATAAGTAATAATAGTCTTTTAAAAAGCAACATTTTTGTTTAAATTTTTGAATGAGTAAATAGGTATAGCACCTGTTTAATAAATCAAAAACAAGCTTTTAAGTTTAAAAACAGAAACATACTGTTTTTGTACAAAGTAAAACAAAAAATGTATAGCTCATGAAATTATTAGAATGGATATCAGTTTACATGGCTCACAAAGTCTACCAAACATGCTTATCTCCTATAATCTCACAGAAAAGCCATAGACTTTTTTTGTTTGACAGGCAGAGTGAACAGTGAGAGATAGAGAGAGAAAGGTCCTCCTTCACTGTTGGTTCGCCCTCTAATGGCCGCGGCGGACGGTGCACCGCGCTGATCCAAAGCCAGGAGCCAGGTGCCTCCTCCTGGTCTCCCACGTGGGTGCAGAGGCCCAAGCACTTGGGCCATCTTCCACTGTACTCCCGGGCCATAGCAGAGAGCTGGCCTGGAAGAGGGGCAACCGGGACAGAATCCAGCACCCCGACCGGGACTAGAACCTGGTGTGCCGGCGCTGCAGGAGGAGGATTAGCCTATTGAGCCGTGGCGCCGGCCAAAGTAACCATAGACTTGTTACGTATTAAACACCTTCAATGATTTGGAAAAGCCATTAATTTAAACAATATTAACTGGGAGCGAAAATAATTATATTCAATCA